CTCCCCCTCCTCCTCCTCCTCCCCCTCCTCCTCCCCCCCCCTCCTCCGTATCATCCTTATCCTCCTCCACCTCCTGCTCCTCCTCGTCCTCCTCCTTCCTCCCCCTCCCCGTCATCCTCCTCCATCTCCGCCTCCTCCTCCGCCTCCGTCCTCTTCCTTATTCTCCTCCCATCGCTCCTCCTCCCCTCCGTCCTTCTTTCTCCGCCGACTCTTCTTTTTTTGTCCCTCCTTCGCCTCCTCCCCCTCCTCCTCCTCCGCCGCCTCCTACTCCTCCTCCTCCTCCTCCTCCTCCTCCTCCTCCGCCTCCTCCTCCTCCTCCTCCGCCCGCTCCTCCTCCTCCTCGGGTCGCCTTCGGCCCCAGGGGAAGCCGTGCACCCGCGAGGAGCCTGGGTTCGCCCAGCATCTCTGGCGTTGGCGTTTGCTCACAGCTCGGCGGCGAGAAGGAGCCCCGTGCTCTGGCGCGAGCGTGCGGACAGGCAGGGAAGGAGGAGGAAGAGGAAGAGGAGGAGGCGGAGGAGGGCAGGAGAGGCGTGGCCTGAAGGAGCGAGCACCCGGCGCAGGGATGGCGTGGGCTTTTGCCCAGAGGTTTGGCTCGGATTGTCAGCAGGTTGTGGTTAAGGTTAAGTCGGACACAACGTTTATATATATATATATATATATATATATGGATAAGTCTAGGGACCATGTTTCTATTATCAGTTGGTTAGTTTGGGATATGCTTGAGTAGTTTTCATTTTTCGTCCAAAATCCGCCTGGAGGGGGGACATGCCCGACCTAACGTTAAGGGCGCGCGGCGCGGAGCCTGTGGGATACGTCGAGACATCCAGGAGAATGGGCTTCTCCGCCCTGGCAGCCCAAGGGCTGCCCGACCCAAGGTTCGGAGCCCCGCTGCTCGTCGCCTCGAGGCAGCCACTCGCGGGCGCCCCCAGGCGGTGCTAGCCAGCGCTCGCAGGACGTCGTGTTTGCGGCGTTCTTTTCGCCAAAGCCCAAGGACACTGCCTTGGCGATCGCCCAGGATGGCACCCATTTGGGCAGCGGCGCTGCTCGGTTCTGTCCATCATGCCGCCGTGTTTCCTCGTATCCCTCATTCTCCTCTTCTCATCCTCCCCATCCTCGCCATCGTCATCATCAGCAGCATCATCATCAGCAGCGTCATCGTCATCGTCATTATCATTATCAGCAACATCATCCGCATCCTGATCCTTATCATTATATTTATCCTTACCCGGCATTCGCACATAACCTCACGCTGCCACCCTAGCCAGCCGAGGGCGCCTCAATCAATTCCACCCCGCCGACCTTAACAAAAAAATGAAGTCGATGCGCCTCCTTTGGATAGCGACGTTTTGTCGTCGACGTTGCAAAAGGCGTAGCGGGAAGGGGGCGCACTGTACTTCGCGTGCGAAAGAGCGAGATGTTGCTCTCGCCCAGGCGCCGCTTTCACGCTGGCTGAAACTATCTTGGTGGAAGACCCAACCATGTGGAAGTTTGAGTGGAGCAAGGAAAGTGGTTCAATGTGGGGCCACAGAGGTGCCGAAATGGCCGGGGGGGCGCATGCGAACCCTGACACAGGAGCCGTTTGTGTAGCTCCTTTATGGGGCCACTACACGCGTGAGGGGTGTGCCGAAATGGGCGGGGGAGGCGCATGCAAACAGTTCCATTGAGGCTTTCGGATAAGCTCCCTGTGCGGCCACGAACCGTGCAAGGGGTGGTCCGTAATGGGCGGAAGAGACGCATGAGAGCGGTGCCATTGGGGCCCTCAGTTGAGTTCCCTGTGTGGCAACGACCGTGTGAGGGGTGTGCTGAAATGTGCGGCACCGGTCGCATAGGAACTGTGCTTCTGTGGCCTTCGGTGAGGCTCCTTCTGTGGCCACGAACCGTGCGAGGGGTGTCCTGAAATGTGCGGTGGGGGCGCATGCGAACAGCGCCGCTAGGGCGTTCAGTGGAGCTCCCTATGGGGCCACGAACCGTATGAGAGGTGTGCCGAAGTGCGCGGCGCGGACGCACGCGAACAGTGCCACTGGAGGCTCCGGTGGCACTCCGTATGGGGCCACGAAATGGGTGAGGCGGAGGGGGGGGGGAATGTGCGGCGCATGCGCATGCGGACGTCGGCACTAGGGCCTTCGGAGGAGCTCCCTACGCGGCCACGGAACGTGTGGAGGTGTGCCGCCGAAATGTGCGGCGGGAGCGCATGCGAACGGTGCCGCTGGGGCGTGCGGCGGCGCTCCTTGCTGGGTCCACGAAGCGTGTGAGAGTGGTGTGCCGAAACGGGCGGCAGGGACGCCAGCGAACGTCGCCGTTTGGGCCGTCCGTGGAGCGCCATATGTGGCAAGGGGTGTGCCGAAAATGCGCGGCGCGGACGCATGCGAACGTCGCCGTTGGGGCCTTCCGTGGAGCGCCATATGGCAAGGGGTGTGCCGAAAATGCGCGGCGCGGACGCATGCGAACGTCGCCGTTGGGGCATTCCGTGGAGCGCCATGTGGCAAGGGGTGTGCCGAAAATGCGCGGCGCGGACGCATGCGAACGTCGCCGTTGGGGCATTCCGTGGAGCGCCATGTATGGCAAGGGGTGTGCCGAAAATGCGCGGCGCGGACGGATGCGAACGTCGCCGTTGTGGCCTTCCGTGGAGCGCCATATATGGCAAGGGGTGTGCCGAGAATGCGCGGTGCGGACGCATGCGAACGTCGCCGTTGTGGCCTTCCGTGGAGCGCCATATATAGCAAGGGGTATGCCGAAAATGCGCGCCGTGGACGAGTGCGAACGTTGCCACTGGGGCCTTCGGTGGAGCTCCCCATGGATGGGGCCAAGAAGCGTGTGAGGGGTGTGCCAAGATGTGCGGGGGGGAACAGACGCGAACGTCGCCATTGGGGCGTTCAGTAGAACTCCCCATGATGCCACGAAACGTGTGAGCGGTGTGCTGGCATGTGCGGCGGGGACGCATGTGAACAGTTCCACTGGGGCCTTCCGCAGAGCTCCCTATGGGGCCACGAAACGTGTGAGGGGTGTGCTGGAATGAGCAGCGGTGACGCATGCGAACGTTGCCACTGGGGCGTTTGGTGGAAAGCCCTTATGGGGCCACGAAACGTGTGAGGGGGGAAGGGGGGAGGGCAAATATACGTCGACTACGCATGCGAACGTTGCCACTGGACCCTTCCGTGAAGGCCCCTATGAGGCCACGAAACCTGTGTGGGGCGTGCCGAAATTTGCGGAGGGGACGCATGCGATTGTCGCCACTGAGGCCGTCGTCGGAGCTCGATACGGGGCGAGGGGTGTGCCGAAAGTGCGCGGCGCGGACGCAAGTGAACGTCGCCACCACTGGGGCCTTCGGTGGAGCTTCCCATGGTGCCACGAAACGTGTGAGGGGTGCGCCAGCATGTGCGGCGGGGACGCATGCGAATGGTGCCATTGAGGCTTTCGGTGGAGCTCCCCATGGGGCCACGAAACGCGTGAGGGGTGTGCCGACATGTGCGGCGGGGACGCATGCGATCGTCGCCGCAAAGGGCTTTCATGAAACGTGTGAGGGGTATGCCGGAATGTGCGGCGGAGACGCGTGCAAACGTCGCCACTGGGGCGTTCGTTGCAGCTCCCTCTTGGGCCACGAAAACGTGTGAGAGGGGTGTGCCGAAGTGAACTGCGGGGACGCAGGCGCATGGTGCCATTGGGGCCTTTGATGGGCCTCCATATGGGGCCACGAAACGTCTGAGGGGTGTACCGAAATGTGCGGCGGTACGCATGAGAACGTCGCCACTGGAACGTTCGGTAGAGCTCTTCATGGGACCACGAAACTTGTGAGGAGTGTGCGTAACGTGCGGCGGGGGCGCGTGCGAACGTCGCCGTTGGAGCCTTCGGTGGATATTCCTATGGGACCACGAAACGCTTCAGGGATGTACCGAAGTGGATGGCATGCGGAGGGCAGAGGCACGAATGGGAGGAGGGAGGCGGCGGAGGAGGAGGAGGAGAAGGAAGGAAGGAGGAGGACGCGGAGCGCTGTCTCTTCAAAACGAGGACCCAACACCACAGGATGATTGGGGGAAAAAGTTCCCACGTTGGCGTGGCTCGTTTGTTTTGCTTACCAGATTACCCGGATCGGAACCACAAGCGGGAACGAAATGTCGTTATAGGTTTATCTTGGAAGTTGATTATTGCGTGGGCGCGGTCTATGTCTGTCGGTGTCTAGTCTTATAGGGGCTTGGCCGTACGCCAGCGATCGAATCCCAGACTCTCCCAGCAGGTTGCGCTCCCGTTTGGTCGCGGCACATCTGTTCTCTTGGCCAAATTGGAAGCGCGGTCGCGCGCGCGAGCGCCTTCGATTCGCCAAGTGGGGCCACGCGCACTTTTTTTGTTCAGTTGCGCCAGTTTTGATTCGTATGATATGGCAGGGAGGGCGGGGTTGGACCGCAGCTTTACGGGGTCACAGATGAGCCCTCGACGTCAACCTGGTGTTGGTACCAAAGGGGCCTCTGCCCTCGCTCTCTCAGCCCCTGCAGAGTCCAGCGGAGTGCCCATTTACGTGATAACTCCGGACTGGCACGATCTACTCTCTCCGAGCAGCAGTCGGATTGTTGGTCGTCCGCCCCGTGCGTACTCCCGCTTGTCTCGCGCAGCATGTTTCACGCACAGCTTGGCGGACACGTCGCTGGGATGTCCGATCTCCAGAAGAAACAACTACAATACGTAACAAACGCTTTTTGTTACAAAAACATGTTGTTCATGTTGTTTGTTCTGGGTTTGTTCAGGGTTTTTTGTTTGGGGGGGGCTTTCTGCGTGAGCCCAGATTAAAGCTGGCCTCCCGGTTCGGTGACTGTATGCGTAGAATTGCCGTGTGCCCTCCCGGGCCCCACGGGGGGTCGACGGAACGCCGACTTGTCCAAGGAGGTTGTTTTGGGTTGTTTGGGTTGTTTCCAGGGGCAGAAATGATGATGGGCTTGTCTTCCACCACGACCACCATGAGTTGGAGGGGTGGTCCTCATCCTCCTCCTCTTCCTCCTCTTCATCCTCATCCTCTTCCTCCACCTCCTTCCCCCTCCACCTTATGGTGGTGGTGGTGGACAACAGGCCCATCAAATGACATACGCGGTGAGATGCCGTAGGGTGTTGCCAAATTTGGTGGCCGAGTGCGGCCAGTAGGTATGATGCTCTCCAACCATGTTGCACATGCTGTGGGCAATAGGCACGTGTGTTGGTCCTTGGTCGTGCTGCATGTCTCTGCCAGAATCATAGAATAGCGTAGGCCGTGCAGGGCGGTAGGTATGGATATGGATAGGGTTGCCATGCACACGCAAGCGGAGCAGTGTTTTGTTGTGTTTGATTGCGGGGGCCAATTACGAGAGAGCAGTCATCCGCCATCTTCAGATATTAGCGGCGCGACTGATGGAGTGGGCGTCCCTGCTGTTCACCCCCGGAAGCGAAGCAGCTCTCAGTGCGGCTGAGCCCTTGGAGGTCCCGCGCTTGTTGATGAGTGAGAGCTCTGTGGGTATGGTAATTGCGTTCGCGCTCTCGGGCCGCCTCTGGATTGCCGTGTTCATTGCCGTTGTTTTTTTTCCGTTCACTACACACTTGCATTAATTTTCTCCGGGCCGCCGTTATCTCGAATAAGATCACATGGCGACCTTCGCGCGTAGGGCCAGCACAATGGTTTGAACGTTTGACCATATCGCGCCGTCTCCCGCAGGCATGACGACGTTGTCATGTTCAATACACCGAAGCGCCCATATAAAAAATAAGCAATGCACATGTTCATGGTGATATGACGTTGATCGGTTTGGCCCCACGGAAGAGGCGTCCACGGTGTATTGTTCGATTGGGCATTGACGGACGCGCACGATTGGCAAGCAAAGGTCTTTGTTATGCCGTTTCAAGGGCGGGGTCTATCGAGTGTGCTAAACGGGCTTCATTGTTTGATTAATCGTCCTCCTCCCGTTTCTGCGTGTTCTTTCAAT